TTTACTGTTTTTGTTTTTGGGTTTCTGTTGGAAATGAAATCTAATCGGTATGTCCTCATGGAATGTTTTCCTTTTCATATTCATCTTTCATTGAACTATTATTCTTTTGCCGAAAGTAAATCTGGTCGATTCGGAGCATACAATGAAATTCTGTGGACTCTTCAATTGGTTAGTCTATGGGCTAGTATTTTGAGTAATTTATGGACTAGTCTATTGACTAGTGTATGGACTATTCTACTGAATAGTGTATGGCCTAGTTTATTACCTAGTGTATGGACTAGTCTATTGATTATCTATGGACTAGTCCATTTAATAGTCTGGGAATTTGTCTAGGGACATGTTTGTTAATATACTAGTCGAGTAACTAATTTTGTCTTTACACTAGTCTATGGGCATAGCTAAAGTCTAGTCTAGGGAGTAATCTAATGAACTAACCCATTGACCAATATATGTGGACTAGTCTATTGGCTAGTCAATTGACTAGTCTACGGATTAGACTATGGATTAGTCTACAGACTAGCCTATGGATTAGTTTAAGGACTAGCCTGTGGATTAGTCTACGCACTAGCCTATGGAGTAGTCTACTTATTAGCATACTGATCAGTCTATACTATAGACTGATCAGTATGCTCTATATAGACTTTGATATAGTCTATGAACCAGTCTATTGACTCTGCTATGGACAAGACTATAGTCAACTAGTCTATGCAGTGGATTCATTAGCTTATGGACAAGTCTATCGTGAACTAGTCTATGGAGTCTACGATCTAGTCCATGGACTAGACTACGTCCTACTCTTTTGATTACTCTATAAACTATACTACGATCTAGTGTTTTGAATAGTCTAGGGACTAGTTTAATTGCCTGTCTATAGACAAATCCAAATTGCAGTCCATTGACTTGTCTAATCTACACACTAGTCTACTGATTAATTTATGGATAAATTTAATACCTAACATGTCATGGTGGTACTTCGGTATTTTTCGATGTCAAAAAGTGCTAATAAAGCACAATTGTACTGATTTTTTCATCACTGATCTGACAACATATTGATTTCGATCCAAAAGAACTGCTTATCTTTAAAGACCATAAAGGAATCAAGCCCATATCGGATACGCCCTTCTAAAGTCAAGCGTATTTCTAAGAGAGCGATCTGCAGCGATCGATATAAGTAATATTCGGACGGATGGACGGCAAGATCTGGATTATAAAACGGATGAGATTTTAATATAATAAAATATAACACTTTCATGTCAGGGCATTTTTCTCTTCTAAGTCTGGTCTAACCAGATTTAAATAGATAAGATCATTTCAGTCCCACCAAATATAGAGCATTCCTAAGGGTCATGGATATTTGGCTTTGTTGTCGCTTGGGCTAGACGATCTTGAGAATTCTTTATAACCGATCACTTGAAGTATAACAATGGTCTTTATATACATATGTATATTTAGATCGATATCCAAAGCCATAATTTGACCTCAGATTGCAATTTTGAAAATAATCTATAAAATTTAGAAGACCTAACTTTGGGAGTCATAAACTTATCCAATTGTTTCATATTGATCTATCATTTTAATTGGCCTATTACCTTGAATGGACTTCTATAATTTCAATCTCCTATTTGTTATTAATGTATGTACCTAAAAGTATGCCATTATATCAAACAGAAATTCAAATGTTGTATATTAACCCTCGGAAACCCAGAAATACATATATGTGTATAGCGAATTTTAACCGAATCTCCGAATAGATTTTAAAAAAGTCCCATCACAAAATAACACTTTATATGAAGAGGATTTGTCAGTTATTGTTTTATATATCAAAATATTGGTCCGAAATCTAAATCCCGCTTTAGCAGATTTGGATTTGGAACCAATTTCTATAAATACCGCAGGAGACTTATTGAAATTTAATCACTTTCATAAAATGGTAATATGTATTAGAATATCAGTCCTAAACTAATATTATATCCAATGCATATACCGACAAATCGACTGTTCAAGAAGTTATGAAAACTGTTAATAAACTAACTTAGTGGTAACCAATTACGATATGTAGTCATATATTACATGAAGGTCGTTTAACATTCACTTTTCCACACATTTTTAATAACCCTCAAAATACAGTAATGATACCGTTTCTGAAATACTCATACTACATATATTGTGAAATATTTGTATTAAATAATAAAAACAGAAACAAACAAGTAACTCTACTCCACATTAATTGCCATAATTACCGGGTGCAACAAATTGAGCTGACTGCCATTGGTGCAGCAAACACAATTTAAACGCTGGTGTTGTTGATGAAGAAAACTTTTAAATATAAACTAAAAAAAACCTAAACAAAACCGCAATTTATTAGTTTTTTTTAATAAAAATATAGAAAAACAATAATAAATGAATTAGAAACGCTTAAGAGACTTTGTACTACTAAACGGAAATGCAACTTGCACTGAAATTTTTAAAACACTACGACGAACAGACTGACTGACAGACGGACGGTCTGCTATATGGTTCTACTTAAGTTAACCATGTTTATAGAATTACTATTTCATTTTAAAAGTTAGCAGTTAGAGCTTAATTATGACCCACATTGTTAAGCAATTAATAAAAGTGTTTAAAACCATTTGACACACTTTGCAACATATAGTATAGTAATTTTACTATATTTCACGATTAAAGTGCGAACACCGCCACAATTGCTCGTAAGAACATACGTTTAAATTAGCTGATGGTTTTCTTCATTGTTTTTAATATTATTGTTTTGATATTGCTTTACTTTAATTCTTTTTATAGTTAATGTATTAGTAATGCAGAGTTCAATATAATTTTATTATTAACTATCAAAGACAGGGTTTTACAACAACTTAAGTTAAAATCACGAAGGAATTCAGTTCTAATTCAGTTCTAGTTCAGTTCTAGTTCAGTTCTAGTTCAGTTCTAGTTCAGTTCTAGTTCAGTTCTAGTTCAGTTCTAGTTCAGTTCTAGTTCAGTTCTAGTTCAGTTCTAGTTCAGTTCTAGTTCAGTTCTAGTTCAGTTCTAGTTCAGTTCTAGTTCAGTTCTAGTTCAGTTCTAGTTCAGTTCTAGTTCAGTTCTAGTTCAGTTCTAGTTCAGTTCTAGTTCAGTTCTAGTTCAGTTCTAGTTCAGTTCTAGTTCAAGTTCAGTTCTAGTTCAATTCTAGTTCAGTTGTAGTTCAATTCTAGTTCAGTTCTAGTTGAGTTCTAGTTCAATTCTAGTTGAGTTCTAGTTAAGTTCTAGTTCAGTTCTAGTTCAGTTCTAGTTCAGTTCTAGTTCAGTTCTAGTTCAGTTCTAGTTCAGTTCTAGTTCAGTTCTAGTAGTTCAGTTCTAGTTCTAGTTCAGTTCTAGTTCAGTTCTAGTTCAGTTCTAGTAGTTCAGTTATAGTTCAGTTCTAGTTATAGTTCAGTTCTAGTTAGATTCAGTTCTAGTTATAGTTCAGTTCTAGTTCAGTTCTAGTTCAGTTCTAGTTCAGTTCTAGTTCAGTTCTAGTTCAGTTCTAGTTCAGTTCTAGTTCAGTTCTAGTTCAGTTCTAGTTCAGTTCTAGTTCAGTTCTAGTTCAGTTCTAGTTCTGTTCTAGTTCAGTTCTAGTTCTGTTGTAGTTCTGTTCTAGTTCTGTTGTAGTTCTGTTCTAGTTCTTTTCTAGTTCTGTTCTAGTACTGTTCTAGTTCTGTTCTAGTTATGTTCTAGTTCTGTTCTAGTTCAGTTCTAGTTCTGTTCTAGTTCTGTTCTAGTTCTGTTCTAGTTCTGTTCTAGTTCTGTTCTAGTTCTGTTCTAGTTCTGTTCTAGTTCTGTTCTAGTTCTGTTCTAGTTCTGTTCTAGTTCTGTTCCAGTTCTGTTCTAGTTCTGTTCTAGTTCTGTTCTAGTTCTCTTCTAGTTCTGTTTCAGTTCTGTTCTAGTTCTGTTCTAGTTCTGTTCTAGTTCTGTTCTAGTTCTGTTCTAGTTCAGTTCTAGTTTAGTTCTAGTTCAGTTCTAGTTCAGTTCTAGTTTAGTTCTAGTTCAGTTCAAGTTCAGTTCTAGTTCAGTTCTAGTTCAGTTCTAGTTCAGTTCTAGTTTAGTTCTAATTTAGTTCTAGTTCAGTTCTAGTTCAGTTCCAGTTCAGTTCTAGTTCAGTTCTAGTTCAGTTCTAGTTCAGTTCTAGTTCAGTTCTAGTTCAGTTCTAGTTCAGTTCTAGTTCAGTTCTAGTTCATATCTAGTTCAGTTCTAGTTCATATCTAGTTCAGTTCTAGTTCAATCAATCAATCAATCTATCTGTCTATCTATCTATCTATCTAGCTATCTATCTATCTACTATCTATCTATCTATCTATCTATCTATCTATCTATCTATCTATCTATCTATCTATCTATCTATCTATCTATCTATCTATCTATCTATCTATCTATCTATCTATCTATCTATCTATCTATCTATCTATCTATCTATCTATCTATCTATCTATCTATCTATCTAAAAATATTCCTTTATACAAGTTTTAACAGCTTTCAGAAGTTACACATTTTTTCACCCCTGTTTACACTAGAAATTTAACCTCTCATTCGAAACTATTTTTTCTTAATTTATTACATAAAGAAGACAAATCTACATAATATTTATTAATGAATTTATTTTTACAACTTTGTCTCATTTTAGTTCGCACTAAACTAACCACTTGGATCTTCCTGTGCTTGTAATTTTTGCGGTTTTCTTCACATTATGCCAACAAAAACGCTGACAGCGTTTAATTTTATTATTATCATCTAAGAACTAGAAAGAAAAAAATGCTTTATTATAACAGACATTATCAGCAAGACCAAACAGTCTTGTTAAATAAGTCTTCAATTCAATTGTTCTACACAAGATCTTTGAATTAAAACAACAAGTGTATTTGTTTTTGACTTGCTTTACGCTGCAACGCTTTTGTAAAAAGAAGAAAGAAAAAATATAAATTAAAAACTAAATAAATAAATCAAACATCATCATGCCATATTTTCCAATATCAGTAAAAGTAGTAATAAAATGAGTAGTAATACCTCATTGGACAATGCATCGGATCAGGATTATAGTGAATTTTAAATGAATATCTACTGCATACACATTCACCTCACAACGAGCCGGAAATACAATATGAAGGTAAGAGTTTTGTTTTTTAAAGGCGGGGACATTTTTGTTACATATTTCTATACTTTTAAAGGAGTTTTTTAACAAAACTGTTGTTTTAACTTAAAAACTGTTTTGATTTTTAAAATATTTCTTCCTTGTTTTTTGTTGTATTTACAGAGGGTGAATTGGAAGCTGAATGGTTAATTGCTGCCGGTTTTCCACAATTAACAAAACCATTTGAGCAGGTAAGTTTGCTATTTTAAAGGTAATATCAAGTATTATTGATTTTTATAAAGAAATTGCATAAAAAATAGTTCATATTTAGTAAAAAGTTTGAACAAGCCCCTGTTATATAAATAGTACTTTTTATGCGTAATGTTTATAAGTGTTTTATAAATGGCTTGATTTCATTATTAAGTTGTCACTTTAAATACAAGTCTTTGAGTGGTTTATTTTTGTCCATACTAAAAAGATTACTCATTTTTTGTATAATTTTACAAAATAAATTTGCCTTAAGTTTGCATAAAAGTACTTTTTTCATAAAGTTTCTCTCAAAAAAATCATGTTAAACGAAAGATCAGTATGTTATGATTAAGTTGAAAAAAGTACTTTTTAGAAAAGTGCTTCTGAATGAATACATTTTAACTAGTGCCTTTTGAAAAAAAGTACTTTTTTGAAAAGTACCTTTTGAAAAAGTACTTTTTGAAAAAAGTACTTTTCTAGAAATATCTTTTTAACATACTAGGAGTACGTTTAAATTGAAAAAGTAACTTTTCACAAAATTCTTTTATGCAATGTTATGTTAAAAAGTACTTTTTCGTTTGAATTAAGTCCCAGTTTTTATACAAATAAACCAAAAGGCTGCCATTTGTTGACATTTTGTTGGAATCTACAAACAGTTTTTAAATTGAATTTTAAAGGAACTTGACTCTCCTAACAACTCCAATTACTTCAAAGTATTTTAGTACTTTTTATGCGTAATGTTTATAAGTGTTTTATAAATGGTTTCATTATTAAGTTGGCATTTTAAATACAAGTCTTTGGGTGGTTTATTTTTGTCTATACTAAAAAGATTACTCATTTTTTGTATAATTTTACAAAATAAATTTGCCTTATGTTTGTATAAAAGTACTTTTTTCATAAAGTTTCTCTCAAAGAAATCATGTTAAACGAAAGATCAGTATATGTTATGATTAAGTTGAAAAAAAGTACTTTTTTTCAAAAGTGCCTCTCAATGAATACATTTTAACTAGTGCCTTTTGAAAAAAAGTACTTTTTTGAAAAGTACTTTTGAAAAAGTACTTTTTTAAAAAGTACTTTTCTAGAAATATCTTTTTAACATACTAGGAGTAAGTTTGAATTTAAAAAGTAACTTTTCATAAAAATCTTTTATGCAATGTGATGTTAAAAAGTACTTTTTTGTTTGAATTAAGTCCCAGTTTTTATACAAATAACCAAAAGGCTGTCATTTGTTGACATTTTGTTGGAATCTACAAACAGTTTTTAAATTAATTTTAAAGGAACTTGACTCTCCTAACAACTCCAATTACTTCAAAGTATTTTGTTATAGTTGTTGATTTTATCATTTGAACAAAACTCTTGTTTAAACATTATAAAAACATTTAGCTATTGATCCGTCAATTTACAAAAAAACAACAACAACTAGACTTGAAATTTGACGAATTAGACAATTCATGTTAAACGATCTCTCTCTACACAATACAAGTTCAAATCGATTTCATTGCACAATAATAATAATAATGATGATCATAATGAGAAGGAAACTAAAACAATATTGACAAGAAAGAAAGAAAACAACAACAACAATAACAATTTTAATAGAGTCGTGTACCGTTATTGACAGATATTTGGTGACAGTTTGTAAATTGGCATTTGATTAGCCATGAAAGTTTAATGACATAAAACGGGCAGTTTTTTTGAAAAAAAAATAAAAATTTAAAAGAAAATGTTTTAAACTGTTAATAAAATTGCCCAATAACTTAAGAAATATAAAAACAATTAAATATTTAATTATTATTATAATGGTGGGAGAGGAGTTTTTTTCCTAACATCTAAACAATATTTAATTTCAATTTTTTTAAGGGCTTGGAATTGCGAACTTCTGAATTGGAACCGATTTTGGCCTCGTTGTCTAAGCCTCATGCTGATGCCATTAAACAGAGAGTGCGTACTTTGAAATCAAACCGTTAGGGGACGCACTAAAAATCGCCAAAAACGTAAACCCGATATTAGAGATGTTTTTCGAGATTTTGATGTGAGTTTAAAGAAAATGATTTTAATTGTTTATGCCATAATATTAATTTGTTAATCATTTACTTTTTTAACTTTAGGAATCAAGCACTGGCACCAGATCACGTAGTGCACCCCTGATTCTTTGGATTCCATACCGGGTGATGAGGTGTGGGGCAATACCTCCATGTAGTAATAAATAAGTTTTTGTTTGTAAAAAGTTTACTGCGCTAAATCCGAATTTGCCGAAACACTTTTTTCTAAAGAATGAGCCGCGCTGAATCCGAATTTCTCATTACATTAGGATTTCGAGATATCTTGTATTTAGCTATGTTTGAAACGTTGTAATAGCGTGAAGACATCTTTATTTATACAACTTGTTATGTCATCTGAAAGTCCAACTTATTTACATTTTATAACTGCTTCAATCTTCGAGATATCTTAACCTTAACTTTGAAACCCTGATGAGATCATATCATACCCGAAAACGTACACCTAGACCGCTATCGGATATGTTGTGCGCTCCTCTCTTTCCTGGACATAATTCCTTATAATTTTCCCATCAGTATTCCTGAGAGATCTAATATCAGGAATAACATCGCTCCTAAGATATTTGCATCCTATTTCGATGAAAGCCCATAAATGACAGAGAAAGTATTACATCGTTTCACTGTCCTCTCCGCATCTTAACCTTAACTTTGAAAACCTGATGATATCATATCATATCCGAAAACATACACCTAGGCCGCTATCGGTAATGTTGTGCGCTCCTCTCTTTCCTGGACGTAATTCCTTATAATTTCCCTATCAGTTTCCTGAGAGATCTAATATCAGGAATAACGTCACTCCTAAGATATTTGCATCTTATTTCGCTGAAAACCCACCAATAACAGAAAAAGTATTCGTCTGAATCCGTTGGACCAATTGTCTTAAGTTGTGTCCGTAAACCTGTTCGCTAAGAATACGTGCCATCATACTTACTTTAGACTTATTCTTTGTGGTAAATCTTTACAGCTTGGTTCTACCCATAGGATTTTAGTGCTCCTACTTACCGGACGCATGCGATTCTCTCGCCCACATTTTTAATTCGGCTCTCTACAAGTCCAACGGTTTAAGGTTAAATTTATCGAATACCCTTCCCTTTATAAGTGCACTGTCAATTATCCCCAAGTTCCCCTGGTTCTCATTTGATGCAAATCTTACCTTTTGAAAGAGTATTCGGACTAAGTCCTATACGGTCTTAAATTTAACCTTATCATCTGATATCGCCCTACAATTGCCTAGAGAAAAAAGCATCCTTCTGATAAGCTGTTGCTGAATCGCCAATCTTTTGCCGATTAAGAATCGGGTTGTTTGAGCGGAGGTCCAATTGTCATCGGAACGAAGAAGACGTTAGTATATTTTGGTTGCCGATATTGTATTTCAGTTTCAAAATTGATCCGCAGGGATGTTAAGTCTATCACTTTAGAGCCATCTGTGTGGCAATAAATTCCAGCAGGGGTTGGCTATATGTTCCGCTTAACCTCTTATCTGGTATCAATGACTCATAGTTGCCGACTTTTATAAATCTGGTATGCGGATGGACAGGTTCGACGCTTAAGCATAGCCTTGCAGTATTTCCAGTATTCTTTGACGACGTAACCCATTACCGGCTTTGGTCAATTCCTTATAAGATCGGCTGTGATTGCAGATTCGTTTAGATCCAAGGAATGTCCATCAGTATTTCTAAAGCCTTCATCAACGTAATGCTCTTACCCCCAAGTAATATGTACATATGTATGTCCATAGCAGTCCACCAGATTATAGAAGCATTAGTTAGAATAATAGCAGACTGGTCTAAGTTCTATATCGGTTGAGAAGGACTATAAATAGTGATTATCCAGAGTAATGGCTATAAAATCCCGCCCAGTTGTAAACAAGCCCTAATAGGTATATCGTACAAATCGCAGCTTATCCATTTATTTTTCTTAGTATATGGTTGATCCAGTCAAGAATCCCCCGATCACTCTATATGAATAATATTGTTGGTTTATATGAGATTTTTGAAAACTCTTC